CCAAATAATAAATCACTGGGTTACAAAAACCAAGAGTAGAAACCTAGTATGGTCTATCGTGGTATAAAATGGCTCTAGCAACAGCAGATGTCTGGTGTGGCACAGGGTGTTTCTAGCATTTGCAGGTGCCCAGCATGACCTAGACTGATTTAGCAGTAGCAGGATGCCTGGTGTGGCCTTGGGTGGCACTAGCAACAGGCTGACCGTCTGTCTCATGTGAGCTCAGTAGTCACCCTGCTTTCTCTCCTCTCTGCTCTTGCTTCTTCCAGTCCCACCCTCGCTACCCTGGCCCATTGTCACATGTTAAATCCTCCCATCATTTATTTATTTTTTTCGTTAAATCTTTATTTTGTCAATATACAATGTATATGATTATTATGGCCCATCACCGACACCTCCCTCCCACCTCCCTCTCTCCCCTCCCCCGCAAGAATGTCCTTTCCGTTTGCTTGTTGTAACAAATACAAAAAAGTATAGTTGTTATATCTTCTCCCCCCTCCCCAGTTTTTTTTGCGTGTGTATGTGGGTGAATTAACTTGTTTATTTTTTAGCTCCCACCAATGAGTGAGAACATGTGGAATTTCTTTTTCTCTGCCTGACTCGTTTCACTCAATATTATTCTCTCAAGGTCCATCCATGTTGTTGCAAATGGCAGTATTTCATTCGTTTTTATAGCTGAGTAATATTCCATTGTGTATATATACCACATTTTCCGTATCCACTCATCCAATGATGGACATTTGGGCTGATTCCAGCTCCTGGCTATTGTGAAGAGTGCTGCAATGAACATTGGGAAACAAGTATACCTTCGACTTGATGATTTCCATTCCTTTGGATATATTCCCAGCAGTGGGATAGCTGGGTCATATGGTACATCTATCTTCAGCTGTTTGAGGAACCTCCAAACCATTTTCCATAGGGGTTGCACCATTATGCATTCCCACCAACAATGTAAGAGAGTTCCTTTTTCTCCGCAACCACGCCAGCATTTATCGTTCAGCGTCTTTACCTTTCATTTTAACAGCTAACTGGCCTGTATAATTTATAAAGTTGTGGTCTGATTGGGTGACTCCTTTCCTTCTTGCTGGTAATTAGACTCTGGGATATCCATTTACCACTCTCAATCTTAAGTAAATATTTTGGTTACATACTAGAAATAATAATTGTGGTTGTTATATCTTCCTCTCCCAAACCCCCCACCTTTTTTTTGTTTTTTGTTTTTTTTTTTAGCTCCCACCAATAAGTGAGAACATGTGGTATTTCTTTTTCTCTGCCTGACTTGTTTCACTCAGTATTATTCTTTCAAGGTCCATCCATGTTGTTGCAAATGGCAGTATTTCATTTGTTTTTATAGCTGAGTAGTATTCCATTGTGTAGATATACCACATTTTCCGTATCCACTCATCTGATGATGGACATTTGGGCTGATTCCTGCTCTTGGCTATTGTGAAGAGTGCTGCAATGAACATTGGGAAACAGGTATACCTTCGACTTGATGATTTCCATTCCTTTGGATATGTTCCCAGTAGTGGGATAGCTGGATCGTATGGTAGATCTATGTTCAGCTGTTTGAGGAACCTCCAAACCATTTTCCATAGGGGTTGCACCATTTTGCATTCCCACCAACAATGTATGAGAGTTCCTTTTTCTCCGCAACCACGCCAGCATTTATCTTTCAGCGTCTTTTGGATTTTGGCCATCCTAACTGGGGTGAGATGGTATCTCAGTGTAGTTTTGATTTGCATTTCCCGGATGCTGAGTGATGTTGAGCATTTTTTCATATGACTGTTGGCCATTTGTATAAATCCTCCCATCATTTAAAGGCCAGCCAGATGTTCTGTTTTCCAGGAAATACCCGGAAATGATCTCTCTTGCCCCTTTGAACCTCTCCTCACACTCTAGCTTATATTATGATTAGTGTGGTTTATCTCCCTTGTTTAAATTTGTCTTTCACATCTTCGTGTCCATCCACCTCAGCCCTAAGCCTAGGGCCTGATTAATATTTAGAAAGATTTTAGCACAGTTAGGCTGTGGTAACAAATAACCCCCAAATCCCAGTGGCTTACAATACCACTGGCGCGTTCATCTCTCATGCTACCTGCCCTTCAAGGGTTGGCTACGTCTCTTCTGCTTCCTGTTGTCTTCTTTCCAAGACTCAGACTGAGGGATCAGCCCCCATGTGGGACCGGCCAACGTTGAGGTTGTGGGAGAAAAGAGAAGCAACAGGCCACATAACCCTCCAGAAGCTTCTGCTGGGAAGTGGCCCATGTTTCTTCTGCTCCCATATCATTGGCCACAGTGAGCCTTGAGGTTCTCCCTCAGGAGGGGCAACTGTAAGTCATATGGCCACATCACCGTTCACAGGTCAGAGGGACAGCCCTGCCACCAGAGGACAGTGAATGATGATTCGAGTGAGTGAGCAAATGACTAGATGAATGGACATCATTCTCATGGCAGAGAACAGAATAATAATTCCTATGGCTCTGAAAACTTTCCCTTGCTCTCTTAAGCCTCTACTCCTTTTCCAAATACCATACAGAAGTTTTTTCTTTTTCTTTTCATGGTTTGAACACACTGGCACCCTGTCGAGCTACCTCACCTTGTAGCAGAGATTTTCAAGCCCTGAGGTGAGAGGGCCTGCAGCCCAAGGCTGCAGGGTAGGGCCCTGATGTATAGCCCAGGCTCACCCTGGGTCTGGTGGGACATGGAGTTGGGGGCAATAAGCCAGCACTCTCCACTCACCAGCAAACTAAGACCGAGTCAGGAATAGCGGCTGTGTTCCAATGGCTGCTTGCTAACCCACCAGAAGCTTGATGGCCACGTCGGGGACAGCACCCTCCTCCCCCTCAGCAGGGGGTTGAGGGAGGAGGACAGAGCACTGTCCTTACTGCTCTGGGGGGCTTGCCTGCCAGTGTCCAGCCCACCCCTTCTTGGCCGAGGCAGCAAGGCAAGGGAGAGCCCCAACACAGCCCAGCTCAGTCCTCAGCACCCAACCTTACAGGGCTTCCCTAAGCAACAGCCTGAATCCCAGAAAATTCCAAAAATCTCTGGAATTGCACTACAGCTGTAAGGTACAGGGTGCCTCTAGAAGTGTGTAAAGTTTCTCTATTGCAGCCTTGACAAGACTTCTCTCCAAGGCTGTGGCAGCTCCCTGGCAAGGGTGCAGAGTGATCACGCCAAGGACTGTGAGTCATGCAGTTCTATGACGGCGTTGTCAGCCTTAGCTGGAGACACCCAGAGAAAGTCTCGGCTTTGCACCCTAATCTTTTCATTCCACCTTTAAATGCTGTTTGTGGGCCGCCTATATATCAGCAAATGCCAGAGATCACTGCTGGCCTAAATGCTTCTTAAAAATAATTTTATACATTTTTAAAAACCCTCCAAGCTGATACTTGTGTTCTTCTTACCACAAATGTTCAGGTGAAAGAACAAAAAGATAATGGCTCATCAGCTGCTCTGCCAGCTCCCAAACCACACACGCTTTATGAGGAATTAGAATAATAATTTCCAGAATTGGTTTCTCCGGGGGCAGGAAGCTCCCTGCTGCATCCCATTTCTACCTGCTTAGAGAGCTTGGGAGCCCTTGAGATCAGCTAAAACTGCCCTGAAGAAAATATCTCGGTTCTGCTCTATGAAAATGCCCCCATCTTTCTCCAGAATTAATTTTCTTGTCTGGTCTGCTGGAGTCCAGGTTGATCAGTCATCAGATTCTATGAGCTAGCCTGCCCTGATGACTATTGGACCAATTAAATGTCCATTTAAAAATGATCTTTGTAGGTGTTTTATGAAAATTAATACCTTCCTCCATGGCAGGGCTGTTACAGTGATGAATGAGGTAATGGAAAGTCCTGTGAGCTTGGAAGGAAGGTGCTATTTATGAATGTCCAAAATATGTTTTCTAATTTTCTTAATGATGAAGACATTGAGCTTGGATATTGATCTCAAGTTAGCAAGGCCTGTGTAAGCGGAACATCTAATTTGTTCAGTTCAGCCAGCAGAAGCTTGGCTGCATCTCACAGGTGGAAATAGGCAATGCACACCTGTTAGGGCCTGCTCCAGCATGAGACGTTGGCATGGGCGAGGGGGGATGCTGGCCCCAGGGCTCTCCAGCTGCCTGCTTGTGGCCCCTGTGCTGCTCTTGCATGTGGGCAAGCTGTTCAAATGACCTGGCTCATGTTTAGGCCCACAGAGCCAAGGTGGATCTTCTGATTGGTGGTGTCTTTGGGCAGCCTGGCTGGCACCGGCTGGAGCAGTGTTTCTCAGCCAGCTGCCTAGGGAAGCAATTTGGCAGCCTCTTCAAACCTATGTACTTGGGCATTCAGTTCATCTACAAACACATAAAAGCTAGACGAGAGGAAGTGATCCTCAGGAGGGATAGGAGGCATTCCTGACAGTTCTGAGCCCAGCGTGGCTCTTCCCTGTTACTTTTTGGTGGTTTTAATTTCTATTTTACCACATTGGTTGAAAACTTAGATGTTGGCTTTGAACAAAATGTGGGAACACAAGGTAGGAGTTTGGTGGCTTGTTCTATCCTCAGGTCAGAGCAGGGGTAGACACTGGGTGGTCTCCCTTCTCTCCAGAAGACTGGGGGAAGGGGCAGAGGCCATAAATAAAGGCACCAATAGAGCTAGCTCTGTAAGAGAAAAGGCTCTTCACTAGTAGTGGAAGGAAAGTATCCCTTCCATCCTCAGACCCCTATCTGGAACAGTGTTTTGTTTAATTAGGCAATGCTCAAACTGTACCCGCAGAACGTCCAGGTGACCCCACTCACGGCCAGCCAGCTGGAAGTCACATGGGACCCACCGCCCCCCGAGAGCCAGAACGGGAACATTCAGGGCTACAAGGCAAGGCTCTCTCGCATGATTTGGTGCTTTCTTCCAGTTCACTGCATGCCTGAGCTGCCTAAACCCCCAGAGGGCCTGAGGGCTTGGGCTGGAATCCTGGCCCCACTCCAGGCCTGCTGCCCTCGGCTAACTTTGACCTGCCAGTTTTCTCATTGACAGACACACAGTGGACACTCAGCCCCAAGTGCTAGGGGGCCCTGAGCGTCTGGACCTTGCTTTTCAGCCTGTGATAAAAGCTGCTGGGGGGGAGGGGGAGGGGCTGGGCTCACTGTGTGACTGGTTTGTGTCCACCACAAAGCAACCCAGGCTGGGGGGCCTCTGCTCTTCCAAACATGCTCAGGGTCCTTTCCCTTCTCCAGTCACCATGGCCTGGCTAGAAACACTCCTTCCTCCTCTGCCCACTCTGGAACCTCCAGTCCATTTGCTAATAGTAAAAGAAAATGGGGTGTCCTGAAGAGAACAGGTTTTCCATCCAAGCACTACTGCCCTTGGGTCACTATTGGACATTGAGCAAGTCCCTTGATTTAATAAGTCAGGGGCAGGGCCCAGAATTTACACTTCTAATGAATTTCCTGGGTAGTGTGATTCCTGGGAACCCCACTTTGAGAACCACCACACTAAAATGTTATGAGTTCACATTAGCTAAATGCTCTAGAGATGCAGTGAAAGAAAGGCAGCAGGCCGTACCAGTTACAGTGTCGGGTGAGGAATAATTTCCAGAATTGGTTTCTCCGGGGGCAGGAAGCTCCCTGCTGCATCCCATTTCTACCTGCTTAGAGAGCTTGGGAGCCCTTGAGATCAGCTAAAACTGCCCTGAAGAAAATATCTCGGTTCTGCTCTATGAAAATGCCCCCATCTTTCTCCAGAATTAATTTTCTTGTCTGGTCTGCTGGAGTCCAGGTTGATCAGTCATCAGATTCTATGAGCTAGCCTGCCCTGATGACTATTGGACCAATTAAATGTCCATTTAAAAATGATCTTTGTAGGTGTTTTATGAAAATTAATACCTTCCTCCATGGCAGGGCTGTTACAGTGATGAATGAGGTAATGGAAAGTCCTGTGAGCTTGGAAGGAAGGTGCTATTTATGAATGTCCAAAATATGTTTTCTAATTTTCTTAATGATGAAGACATTGAGCTTGGATATTGATCTCAAGTTAGCAAGGCCTGTGTAAGCGGAACATCTAATTTGTTCAGTTCAGCCTGTTTTCTAATTTTCTTAATGATGAAGACATTGAGCTTGGATATTGATCTCAAGTTAGCAAGCCCTGTGTAAGCGGATCATCTAATTTGTTCAGTTCAGTGAGCAGAAGCTTGGCTGCATCTCACAGGTGGAAATAGGCAATGCACACCTGTTAGGGCCTGCTCCAGCATGAGACGTTGGCATGGGCGAGGGGGGATGCTGGCCCCAGGGCTCTCCAGCTGCCTGCTTGTGGCCCCTGTGCTGCTCTTGCATGTGGGCAAGCTGTTCAAATGACCTGGCTCATGTTTAGGCCCACAGAGCCAAGGTGGATCTTCTGATTGGTGGTGTCTTTGGGCAGCCTGGCTGGCACCGGCTGGAGCAGTGTTTCTCAGCCAGCTGCCTAGGGAAGCAATTTGGCAGCCTCTTCAAACCTATGTACTTGGGCATTCAGTTCATCTACAAACACATAAAAGCTAGACGAGAGGAAGTGATCCTCAGGAGGGATAGGAGGCATTCCTGACAGTTCTGAGCCCAGCGTGGCTCTTCCCTGTTACTTTTTGGTGGTTTTAATTTCTATTTTACCACATTGGTTGAAAACTTAGATGTTGGCTTTGAACAAAATGTGGGAACACAAGGTAGGAGTTTGGTGGCTTGTTCTATCCTCAGGTCAGAGCAGGGGTAGACACTGGGTGGTCTCCCTTCTCTCCAGAAGACTGGGGGAAGGGGCAGAGGCCATAAATAAAGGCACCAATAGAGCTAGCTCTGTAAGAGAAAAGGCTCTTCACTAGTAGTGGAAGGAAAGTATCCCTTCCATCCTCAGACCCCTATCTGGAACAGTGTTTTGTTTAATTAGGCAATGCTCAAACTGTAGATGAACAATAGAAAATGTTAATCATTGGCTCCCAGAAAAATATTAGCAGCCAAGGACCCTCCTGCACCCCACATTAGCCTCAGTTACTCCAATTCCTTGGAGGAAGGTGCCTCTCCACCTGCCCATCTGGGGCATGGCTTGACTTGGGACTCAGGCCCACCTGCATGGTCTGACCTTACACTCAGTGGCCACCCTTTCTGGAAGATTCTCCATGGCCCACACCCAACTTCTTGCTCTTTTGAACAGATATACTACTGGGAGGCAGACAGCCAGAACGAAACAGAGAAAATGAAGGTCCTATTCCTCCCCGAGCCCATGGTAAAGCTGAAGAACCTGACCAGCCACACCAAGTACCTGGTCAGCATATCTGCCTTCAATGCTGCTGGAGACGGACCCAAAAGTGACCCCAGGCAGGGGTGCACCCATCAGGCTGGTAGGACAACTACGCATCTCCTTTTTGCAAGCTCAGTTGGACACATGCTTTGAGAGCCCATGTCACCTCCCCCAGTGGTTCCCGGGCTGCCCAAGCAGAATTAACTGCCCTTTCTCTCAGTTTCCACAGCTCTTTGCTCTGCCTGCCCCATAACACGCATCATATTGTGGAGCTGGGAGTTTCTAGAGAGCAGGACTGGGTTTGATTCATTTGGTTGCCCCAGTGCCTGGCCTCCCCTGGTACATCATGGTACCAAATAAATGTTGGAGCAGCTCATGTTTTTCTCTGGAGCCCTTGAAGATAGCAGATGGGAAGAAGGGCTTTCCTTCTGCAGCTCGGCCATGTTCATAACCGACAGAGTCCATTCCACTTCCTCCAAGGCCACCTCATTAATGTGTCCACATACCTGGGGTGGGGGGGGAGCTCCTTGCGCATAGGGGCCAAGCATTCCCCCAGGATTCAAGCCCACAGATCACCCCTGGCAACAGCTTGCCAGCCTTCTCTCAGATGCACCACAGACCAGTCCCAAGAGCATGCATGTGTGTGCCAGGGGCGCTGCACTGACAGGGGCCACGCTGCTTGTGGCCTCATCTACACGCACTGGACACAGGGTGTGTTTTGAGCAGACCACTTTTCCACTGCATCTCTTAGTTTCTTACTGGCCTGGAGGATGTTATGAAGCTGCCCAGGTATCCCAAAGAAACGGCAGCTTAGCCTTGTATCCTAGGCAGCTCTCAGAGGCCCTTTGTAAGATCCAGGAAGTCTAAGGCTGAGAAAGTGAAATTTGCGAGCCTGTGGACGAGACACAGGGCTCAGGGCTAGCTGTCATCCTGTGGGCTCAGCCAGCTAACTCTGGCCTGGATGACTGGCCTCCCGGAGTGGGCTCTGCAGCATCACACTCCCATGAGATGACCATGCCCACATTGTAAGGGCTGCTTCCTTTTGGCATCTGGCACCCAAGGGGGCCTCTTTTAGAATCTGAGCAGGGAGGATTTGGGCAGACCTGTGGGGCAGAGAGCTGGGGATTGGAGCCACATTGGGGCACTGCAGGCCTGGCAGGTCCTGAGGCTGAAGGGGCCCAGAGGCTAGAGGGAGAGCAGAGAGGGGGGGAAAGTGAGTGCCAACTGAGCAGCGAGGGGCACCAAGGCAGAGACTAAGTCCCCACCCAGGCCATCTGGTAGGGGCAGCACCAGTACATGCCCACCTCACATAGGCCCAGGCAGAGGGGGAGCCATGGGCAGGCTTAGCATCGCCTCTGGCTGCACATCTGGCCTCCTGCATCTGCCACTAGTTCAAGATGGCTCAGTCAGCCTCCTCTCTTTCTCCAGACCACGAGGGAACACTTTGAGCTGGCAGAGTGTCATGGGCAATTGCAAATGGAGGAGCAGAGGGTGGGGGCCCTCTGAGATCTGCAGGCCCCCATGGGAGAGGAGAGGAGGGTAGAGAGAGGCTTCAGCCATCACAGAACATCCATCTCTCCCCGAAAGAACGGGACGAGAGCCCCCGGAATCCTGCAGTCACTAGAACATGGAGCTATCTGCATTTCATTTGCTGTTTCCATCTATTATTCATTTTTATGCCTTTGTCATTTCTTCTCAAGCTCCTCTGTGTTTAAACGCTGTCATTTTCTCTGCTCTTCTTGGGAGGGCCTGTGTTTCTGATTGATCCTAGGAAGTTTGGAGGTGATCAATAAATCATCTTTTCATTTTATGTCATTTAGACTTTTACTGAGTTGAAATCAACATCCAGTAACACTTTTTATTCTAGACGGAGGCACAGACATGTATGTATATGACTCTAAAGGAGCTTTAGTAGCAGTAACTCTGTGTTCTCTTCTTCCAGCTCCAGGGGCCCCCAGCTTTTTGGCGTTCTCAGAGATAACGTCTACCACACTTAACGTCTCCTGGGGTGAGCCGACCACAGCCAACGGCATCCTGCAGGGCTACCGAGTGGTGTATGAGCCCTTGGCACCTGTCCAAGGTAAGACTGGAGGGGCCATAAGGAGGACAGGCCTCAGAGTGCACAGCACTTCACAGTCTACACCGTGAGGCCCACCTGACCTCAGGTTCAGGCAGGGATTCTTCCAGAAGCTCAGGAGGTGAAGGGACTTGCCAGAAGAGTCCTGGCCAAGGAAAGGCTGAGCTGAGACCAGAAGCCCTGTGTTCTGAGCCCAGTGCAGTACTTTCTCCATGGGACTGTGTTGCATGCTTCCCTTGACCTAGCCTCTCTAACACTCAAGGTGTTTCTCTCTTGTTTCTCCTGAGAATTTTGTCCTCATGGTCAACAACAGGAACCACCCTAAGTTCTGCCTGGAACCACAGCTGGCAATGTTGGCCCTTCGGATGCCATCAGCATCTTAGGAGAGGCGCTGACAGCCCAGTGTTCTCAGCTGATGCTCTGTGCTACCCTCCATTTGTTCATTTACTCAACAAATATTTATTAAGCCCCTACTGTGTGCCAAATACTGTTGTAGATGCTGGAATGTATGGATCCAGGAAAGCAAAAATCTTGACTGAGTTGTTCATTAACAGTCTTGCTTTTCTGAATACAGTGAATTAATATTCTGATGGAGAGAGAGGCAACACACAATTAAACCAAGAAACAAAAATCTGGTAATGACCAATGCCGGAATGTATGGATCCAGGAAAGCAAAAATCTTGACTGAGTTGTTCATTAACAGTCTTGCTTTCCTGAATACAGTGAATTAATATTCTGATGGAGAGAGAGGCAACACACAATTAAACCAAGAAACAAAAATCTGGTAATGACCAATGCTATGAAGAAAAGAGAGTAGGGATAACGTGAGAGTGTGGGCATAGGGAAGAGACCTAAATGACAAGAAGGACCCAGGCGTGCAAAAATCCAAAGGAAGATCTTTCTAGAGAAGGCTTAGCAAGTGCAAAGGCCCTGTGGTAGGCAGGGGCTGGGTATCATTACTGTGGCCGGAGCTCAATGAGTGCGGGGCACACACAGCAGGGCCAGAGCACGCAGGGCCATGGTGGGTTTTACTCAAGAATGAAATTGGAGTGGGAGAATCTAAGGCATGACCAGGATCCCTCTGGTTAAATATCACAGTCTAAATGCCACTGGATGAAAACAAAATTATTGATCACCTCAGAACTTCGCAGATCAATCAGAAACAGACCCTCCAGAGAAGAGCAGAGAAAATGTTTAAACATAAAGGAGCTTGAGAGAAGAAATGACAAAGACTGGAAGATGAATAATAGATGAAAACAGCGAACAAAATGCAGATAGCTTTTGGAGAGAATGGGTTGCTGGGATTCCACAGAAGCTCAGGAGTAAGCAGAACGTTTGGGGGCTGTTGCAGTGTCCTGCAAGGGAGTTTGGAGAAGGGGGTGACATGGAGAAAGTGAGAAGTGGCCAGATTAGGGGTGCATTTTGAAGGTGGGACCATTGGCTGTGAAGGCGAGGAAAAGGAGCTGGGGACTGAGGGGCATCGCTCTGACGTTCACGTGGCTATTACTCACGCACCTGCTGTGTTAAAATGTTACCTATCTCTGCTATTATTTTAATTCATGTCCACTGGAGGCTCAGTGGACATTGTGTCTTCACCTCACTGTGTACCCAGAAACACATCCAGCTGTCTCTGCCCAGTGGTCTAGGGCAGGTTCTCCCTGGTCATATACACAGACAGACTGTAAAAATTATAGATTTTTTGAAGTCTGGGAGGAAAAAATATAACCAACACATCAAATATATTGGCTCTCCATTTAAAGCAGTGATAAAAGTTTCCTTTTAAAATAAGCACATTCAGATAAAACAGGGAGTTGATTTAAAGAAGAAAATTTAAACACTAGATCTTATTTCACAGGATCCAAGATGCCATTGACTATAAGATTCGTTGTTATTTTATGAAGTGCTAAGAAAGAAAAAAATCCTGCCAATAAACTAGGTCCAGTACCTTTGTATCATCAATTCTGAGCTGCACTCCAAATCAGAGACCTGAAAATGCGAGAGAGGATAAACAGAATGTGTCTTAGACAATCGATGAACTTTGGTAAATAACAGTAGAGGTGATATGTGGATATGACACAGGAACAACATTGATTTAGTGTGGCCACCACGAGGGCAGAGGGTGTGGCCCAGGCTCTGCTGTATTCTTTTCAGAACCAGCGTCTGTCTGGAAACCCGGTGGCATGGAGGCGGCCGCCTTTGAGATCCTAGCAGCAGATGCCCGGAAGGAGACATGCCTGTTGTTCTTGCTCATCAGCAGGGAGAAATGGTAGAGAATTTCCTGAGACCTTCCATTTTGCTCACGAGTATTCCCTCTCTTTCTCTGACGCATGCACACACACAAACGTGCATGCACATGAACACACACACGCACATGGGTACCATGAGTCCATGTTACAAGTGCCCTTTCAAAGATATTGACTAACTAGAGCTATTCAAATGAGAAATGACTGCCAAAAAATCATTGTTCCGATTGAGCTAGGAGTCCTTCCTAGTCGAAGACGGCTTGAGTTTTCCCCTTCCTCCTGAAATAAGTGGCTTATTCTGCTACCCAGTCCTTCTGTGTTCCTGGGTTTGCAGAATCTCTCTAGAAACTCCACGGCATGCCCCTCTGGGCCTCTCGCCTGAGCTGCTCCTGGTCTTGTAAAAAAGTACTTGGCCTCCAAGCAAGACCATTCCGTGGATCGTTGCCCAGGTAGAAATACCACACAGGGACTGGATGTGCTTGCGATCTCCTTTTCTCTGCACTTCCACTCTCCTAGAATTGTGTCTGAGTTTCTCCAAAACCTTCGCATAACCCGTCTCCCAGGGAGATGACCCTACAGATCCAGTTTCCTGTGTTACCAGGGTGTGGTTTCTTGTTCATTTTCATGGCAGTTTTCGCATCATTGGGAAAGTCTAAGAGCACTTTGGAAGATTTCGTTTTAGACAGTCATGTTCATTGTGTTCTGCTCGCACATGGCTTTCTGCAGTGTTACCAGGGTGTGGTTTCTTGTTCATTTTCATGGCAGTTTTCGCATCATTGGGAAAGTCAAAGAGCACTTTGGAAGATTTCGTTTTAGACAGTCATGTTCATTGTGTTCTGCTCGCACATGGCTTTCTGCATGCTCCCCATAGACACGGTCCCACCAGGTGTAACAATAACAATAGGTAATGTTTACCGAGCACTTACTACAAGTCGGGCACTGTGCTGAGCACTTAACGTTCATCATCTCTAGATCCTCTAACAGCTCTATGTTGTAGCTGCTGCTGCTGCTGCTTTTATTCTCATTTTGAAGACAAAGAAATTGGGCTTAGAGCCCTTCAGACATTTGCACAAGGCCTGCATTTGAGAATGATGAACAGAGGTGGGATTTGAATCCAGGTGTTCTGACTTGAGAGCCAAGGTCTAAACTGCTAGGTGGTAGGGAGAAAATGTGTGGAGCACTTGTGTTTCTGAAAGCAAATGTGAAGGTGAACTTCAGAGATGGAGTGTGAGGAGGACTCATTAAAGCATTTCATATTCCAGACAAATCGCTTGCCGCACAGCCAAGTGTGGGGCTTGTCACTCCCCCGAGTGACAACAGGTGGAATCACTTCAGTAGCAACCATTTTCGCCTCTTTTCACAAGCAATAAGACCGTCCGTCACCAGCATTGTCTCTTTCGTTTGTTGAGAAGGGCTGGTTCTTTTAACCTGGATTTTCCCAGTGAGCGCAGCATGCTCTGAAATCAGAGGAGGAAAGAGCACTCTTGCTTTGTGACTTACTCATTCCCTCCACAGGTTGAGAGATTGACCGGAATCTCCACAGAAATGGCTTTATTAGGTCTCCCTTGCAATGTGCATTGGAGGTGTTGTAGTCCACAGTGTACCCATTGCAGTCTTGGGCACATTCCAGACTTCCTGATCCCTATACAGCTATCAAGTGGCTGATCAAAAGCTTAGGCTGGCCACCGGTGCTGGGGATAGGAAACGTCATTGCAGAGCTGCCCCGAGCACCCCCATTGCCTGCCTAGACTAAAGCTGTCTGCCAGAACTCTGTCCTGATCCTGTCCAGCTAGCCACACCATCAAAAAGAAAAATGTAGACCAGTGGAGGATGGCCAGTCAGAGTAACTGAGGCCAGTTTGTAACAAGGATATCTTGGCCTCGGTCAAGAGCAGAGGCTGTTGCAGACGATTCTGATTGGTGGGTGGAGTGGGCGGAGGGCAGCAAGGCCCCAGTTGCTGGTGCCTCCCCGTGTCCAGGCCCGCTGACAGCCCCCTCCCACACTTCTCTGCATGTGCCATTCCAGTGGATCAATAGCAATCATGAGGCAAGCGGAGAGTAAAAGCATTTGCACATGGGATGCACCCTGTCCTCCTGTGCTCTTGGAACCCTGCCATCAGGTGACACACCTGAGCTGGCCTGTGGGTGACAGCCAGCCAACTGCCAGGCAGATGAGGGAGGCCACCTGGGACTAGCCACTCCCAGTGGAGACTCACTGAGTGACACATCACAGGCACAAGCCTAAGCTCAGCCCAGGTCAGCCAAGCCAGCACCAGCCAAAGGACTGCCTGGCAGGATCATGAGCTCAGTTGAGTGGTGGATGTTTTAAAGCCCTAGGTTTTGGGGAGTTTGATACACAGCAGTACATAAGAGGTACAGCAGTGAGGACTCTATGTACGTCACAGAGCACCAGTTGTTTAATGTGTTCTTACACAGTAATCAGAGACAAGGATTCTTCTCTGTCGCCTGGCTCTCCAGCTCATCTCCCTTATTGTCAACCTCAGAACAGATGGTACTGTTGGTTAAATGTGTCCCCCAAAATTTATGTATTGGAAACTCAACCCCCATTGTGCCAGTGTTAAGAGGGTGGGAAATCTGTACTTACGGTATTCAAAAGGTGAGGCCTTTGAGAGGTGATTGGATCTCCAGGATTGCCCTTGTGAATGGATTGGTCCATTCATGGAGTAATGCATTGATGGTTTAACGGGTGTGGTTCTGATGGCTTTATGAGGAGAGTGAGTGAGGTTAGTTCTCTCACTCT